TTCTTTAACAGGATGCAGATGTGAGATGGGGGCAGGTGAAGGTCTGAACTAATAATGACATCCAAGTTGGGATTGAAGTATTGTTTTTGAGCAATCATAAGATGATAAGGATATATTTCATAGCTTCAAGAAAGAATAAGGTAGCTCCGAGATTGCAGGGATAGCTTTCCTTGACTATCATTATATCTTTGGTGTCAGTAGGTGGTTCCTCCTTTAAATTGTTTATTAGATTGCAGCTTGATAATGTTGAGTTGAAGCATCTTCTTGGAGTATAACAATCAGATGCATAAAGATGCCAGCTTGGAGTTTCTTGCAAATGGTGGAAGCTCTTCCAGCTCTCTTCATGGCAGCTTGGAGTTACTTGGGGAGCCAATTTCTCTGGGATTCTCAAAGATCTGACAGAACAAAAATAAATCTGGGAAGCATTTTAAAATCACAAGTGGGTGTGCTGAGAAGCCAATTATTTCTTCGCTAATAATTCAGCCATAAATGAAAGTTGTGTATAGCCTTGATATGATGATGCAGGCAGTGAGAGGATGATAAGCTCTTGGTTTACTGACCTTACTATTAGCTGTAGCAGATGATACGTTAACTAAATGTCAATGGGATGGAGGAAAGAAGCAACTCAGCAATCCTCATGTAAACACTTCGTTCAGCAATCTTAGGATCTTTTAATCTTTGGCTATAGATCATCTCTTCCTTAAACAGGGCAAGAACTTGTTATCCTCAAGCTGTCCATTCCAAGTCATCTGTTTTTTTGGTTTACAAGCTATCTTGTATTGACTAATGGAGATGAGAGATAGAAGCAAACAGGAAGACCACCGGAAGAAGCTTCACGCCCTATAAAAAGACCGCTCCTTTCTTCCTCAGAGAAAGGAGGAGCTTTTTATCTTCTGCTGCAAGGTTGGCTTTCCTTCTTCTTCTTCTTCTTCTGCCTCTGCAGATGGACTGGTTCCTGCAAAACTCACTGCCTTTGTAATTGATTCAGGATCTCCTTGCAAGGGAAGTATCTCTCAACATGGAAGCGTTGGCGTCTCCGTGCTATTCCGACATGGTAAGGAGCTCGAGATCAAGTTATTCGTTGCATGATAGTGTTGGGAACTGTGTTCTTCATCTTGTGAAACTGACAGGGAGTGGATCAGAGTTTCTTCCGTCAGTGGGAGTTGAGTGCTTTTGATCTTCTCGGTGCGCAACAACTGGAAGCGGCTTTTGGGCGAGATTTGGATCAGTCTCCCTCATCCGAAAGCTACACCTCCTACCCTTCCTTCCATCCGGCGGCCAGCACCGAAAGGCCCAAGAAGATCGCCAAGACCAGCAGCCGGAGTTCTTGCACCACCTCGTGTCCAAGAATTCTGTCATTTGGCAACCCGGAATCGCCCATCTGTCTTGCTGCAACGGTGAAGCCGAAAGAAGAGATGGAAGCCTTGATCCTCGGACAAGGGGCCAAGAAGGTAAGCACGGGGGCTAAACCCGCCGCTCAGAACCAGGAACACATCATGGCCGAGAGGAAGCGACGAGAGAAGCTCAGCCAGCGATTCATAGCGCTGTCTGCAGTAGTTCCTGGCTTGAAGAAGGTGAGCTCTCGATTGCTTCCTCTGCTTTGATCAGCTTTCGGCACATCTGTTTTGATCGAAGTAACATTCCTCTTTGCAAGACGGACAAGGCTTCCGTTCTTGGCGACGCCGTCGAGTACCTGAAGCGGCTCCAGGAGAAGGTCAAGTCCCTGGAAGATCGAGTATCGAAGAGGAACGTGGAGGCGGCGGTCCTCGTGAAGAGGTCGCAGCTATGTGCTGATGACGATGATGGCTCCCCCGGCGATGAGAGCTTCATCGAAGGCCAAGGAGGCCAGTCCCTTCCGGAGATCGAGGCCAGGGTGTGCGAGAAGGCTATCCTGATCAAGATCCACTGCGAGAACCGGAAAGGAGTGCTGGTGAAAGCTCTCTCCGAGATCGAGACGCTCCACCTTCGCGTGATGAACACCAGCGTCGTGCCCTTCTCTGGTTCTTCTCTCGACATCACCGTGGTGACCCAGGCAAGAGATTCTCATCTATACCTCCACTATCGACCTCTCTGCACTCAACGAGTGAGGAGTCGGTGGCTGAACTTGTTGTCTTCTTCTGCAGATGGAAGAGGGATTCTCCATGACAGCCAAAGACCTGGTGAAGAAGCTGAACTCGGCTTTCAGACAATTCATGCGATGAAACCACTTGAATTCCCTAACTTCTTCTTCTTCTTCTCTTTGTCGACTGCGCTAATGGTTGACTAGTTTCAGTCCTCAGCCTTTAAGAACTTCTTCTTCCTCTGAAGACAAGGCCTGTTTGTCCCTCGACACACCAAAGGTCACCATTTTCACTTGTTTTTGCTGCACGGGGCTTCCATCTTCAAGTTCCTTGCTCTTCTCTTCGACTTTTTCGCATGGTCGAGTCACTTGATCATGTTTTCGGAAGAGACGAGTGAGATACTTGGCTCTGTTTTTTGACTTCTTCTTTTTCTAGGACTTCATTGGGGGAGGTTGACTTTCGAAAACCTCTCTTTTCCTCCCCCTTCCCTGCTGTCCTTTTTCTCTGAAGAGGTTGACTATTTAAGCCTGTTTCTCAGCTTCCCATCAGTGTTTAATCCTCGAAGGTTGACCGTAGGAAAAAGATGGTGCACTTGTAAGTCATGGGGAAAATTTGAGCCTTGTTTCAGAATTCTTGTGGTTGATCTTTTTGAGGCACTCATGAATAATTCCTGGTTGTAATTTTCTTTCTGTTCTTGTAGAAATTTCTAAGTGACACCCAACATGCTGTACTCTCACAAACAATTTGCATGGGCTGCATGGTTATATATACACACACACACTATGTTCAGAGTTCGGGTCTCGGATCTGCCTGCATCCAGATCCAAATCCAATAAAATGTCGGATATGGGTAAAGGATCCTCATCCGCGAGAGCTCAAAGCAACGGGTGTTTCAAAGCAGGGCTTCAATTACGATCTCGTCCATTAAATATCCATTTAGAAGAGAACGAACGGTTGTGATCATGCCAAGTCGCAGGCCACTGCGCAAAACCGTCACCCTTTCCCGGCCGTGTCACAACAAATGGTCACTCGGTTCGCATCACTCTCTCACTTCTCATTCGTCGAACCCACGTCATACTGATCCTTTTAAACCCCACCCCAACGGCCGTAAAAATTCAATTTTTATTCTCCTCTTCGTTTCGTTTCTGGAATTCCTTCGTCGATCCATGGCGACTCGCTCTCTGTTGCTCGCGGGTTTCCTCAATCTCGTCATGGTGGGAGTTTCGAACGGTCTAATTTCCTCGAATCCATCGACTCACCGAGCGATTTCGGTAAGGGAACCCTGAAATTTCGAAAATTTCCCCTTTCTTTTACGAACTGCCCTAATTGATTTTTGGCGAACATGAAGAATTTGAGGGATGCGGTCGTCAAGGGGCTCGGGATCCATGCGGAGGGCGTGGAGGTGTCGGGGTTCGACGTGCGGGACGTACGGGTGGGGCAGTCGGTCGCCTACGAGTTCGACATCGAGATCGATAAGAAGGTGATCCCGATCAAGCTGTCGGAGGACGTGAGACGGTGGGATTCCGTGGATCTCACCATCTTTGGAGAGGACGGGGAGGGGGGAGGAGATGCGACAGGGTTGGTGCGTATGGGGAGGAGGCCTGATTCGATGGTTCCGCCGGTATTGTCTCCGTTTCAGCTGGCCGGGCCTTTGGAGCTCTGGATTCAAGACGGTGATGATATGAGGCTTTTCTTGCCGGTGAGATGCATATTTCCATTTGTTTCTGGTGATCATTAATTGAGTTCAGCTTCTAAAAATGTCCTTTTTTCGGTCGATCTCATGCGACAACCCACCTCTGCAGCACGATGTCGAAGCAGGAGCGCTGAAGAAGGTGATCTTGTCGGACGGCGCAGTGGTGACAGTGAAGGGCGCCAGGTCCGTCAGCCTCAGGCGCCCGCTCGAGCTCCCCCTCCCTTTCCCCCTCAACCGCACCCATCACAGTGGCCACCAGGACGCGTCCGGCCTGCTTGCCACCGCGGAGGCCGTGCGCCGTGCAGCCGGATCGAAGGGCCAACCCCTCCTCTCCCTCCGCATCGTCGGCCCCACCTCCCTGACCTCCTCGCCGTCGACGTCACCCCACGACAAGCTCAAGCTCAGACGCTTAGCCCCAGGCCTCGTCGAGCTCTCCTCGCGTTCCATCCCAACCATCGCAGTGCAGAGGCCAACCCTGTGGCCTCTGACATCATTGAATGGGTCCGATTCCAACCTCCAGGGATTCGAGGAGATGCTGGCGTCGGTGTTAGGGCCAAAGGGCAAGGAGGAAGGATCATTCCAGTTGCTGAGGGCAGAGGTATCAGCTAGAAATTACATCAAGACGGGCTTCACACTTGTGGAGAACATTTCGGACGACGAGGTAGATCGGTCAGGGTTCCCAGAGTGGATGACTAGACCAGAGAAGGCCATGACCCAATTCGAGGTTCTCGCTCGGATGGAGGAGAATGGAGAGGTCGTTCCAGAGAGGATCGCGGTGGTGAAGCCAGTTCAGGTAGCGGACAGTGAGCTAGAAAGCGTTTCAACCGGGAATTCCACCATGTCCGGGGCTTCAATAGTTCACCCTCCTCCAAGCTATTTCACCTTGTGATCCTGTTCTGCGTTGCTGTCTTCTTGCCGGGGAACACCCCAATTGTAAAGCTGCATCTTTTCGTCCGTTTGTATCGCCAGCTGATGTACGTAAATCTACATGTATTTTATGGTAGATGTATAAAAATAAGGTTTTGATTAATCTCTATGATAGATATGGTATTTCTCTTTCCATCCAACTCATCTTTCTCATATGACTCCCAACTTAACTCAAAATGGTAACAAGTCTCGGCATTATAGAAGAGGTTTCTTGGTTTCTTCGCTCAATCTTCTTGTTCAAGACAAGGGAATCAAAAAATGGGGTCTAAAGAACCCTAATCCTCTTTTGCGGGAGATGAAATTTCGAGCACGGAGAAATACTTTTGCGAGATAATTCAAGAAATCAAGGGAGATTACATCGCATTGCAAGGGCAAAACATCAACGACGAGGCAACAACCAATCCACTTCAGAGAACACCAGAAACGAAAGAGAAAGACACGGATGCGGTGCCGGCGGTTGGGCGCGGCGCCCTTCATCATCAAGCTGCACCAGTGGCCGGGGCTTCTTCCGCCCGCTGCGCCGCTGCCTCCCCCTTCTCCTCGGAGACGAGGGTCCAATCCGGAGGGAGGACAGGGAGCGGCGGGTACACGGTGGGGCCCTTGCGCCTGACGTCCCAAGGCTGCGTCTTCTTGGGCCTCGTCTTCATGTGGTGCGACGTCGCCTTCTTCTGCGGCCGCGACGAGCACTCCACCGCCATCCCGCCCGGCGACGGACTCTTGGGTCTCCTACCGTAGTAAGGCACTGCAATCGCATTTGCCAACATCCCGGTGATCGACGCCATCGTCTCCTCACTCTCGGCTCTCTTACTCTTCTCTGTCTCCGGGGGAGTTCGGGGGTGATCGAGATAACAGAGAGACGGCGGAGGGGATAACGTGCGCAAGTTGGGCGTAGGCGAATGGTTCAGACTCGATTCTGGTGTTATCCTTGGGGATGTGTCGCCTACTCCGGACCCACATGGCATGTCATGCTCCGGTAAAAGCTTTT